ATCAAATGAGAACTGATGGGCCGTACCCCAGGGAGCCAAGGTCGAGAACCACCATGAGAGGTCCTTAGTGATTGCCTCTTAACTTTCCTTTTAGTTCCATTCCTTTGGGTTGTTTCAGTTCTTTTTTTTTTTTTTTTGAGGGAAATTTTGTTTTCTTTATTTTGTACAGTCTTTCCCCAAACCTCCTGGACAGTTCAGATTAGGTTACATTGCAAAGGAAAGTTTTACGACTGTCTTCTGTAGGAACAGTTTATTCCAAATGCCTTTGTATATTCCTACAGTGAAAATGGATAGCCCATATGAGGTTTCTCTCTGGCTATAACTCTTCAGTCCACAACAGACACTCAAAGGATCTCACTTTCTCTCTCAAGCAAATACACATACACAATCAGCTGAGCAAATTTTAGTTTGAGTTTCAGCCATGAGACTTATGAAGAGTTTACATCTCTCCCTAGCCGTGGAAAGAGCTGAGGAACATGTCTGGATAATTTAAACAGAGCTCCCTTCCCCGCCCCACCCCACCTCATCTGGAATTGCTCATACCAAAATAGATCAAAGTAGATTCTTATGTTATTCATTATCGGTAACAGTAGCTATCAAAAACTGTTAGCTTTTCTCCTTCTCTACCCTGAAGGTAGGTTGGCTCAAGAGGATCTCTGCTAAGTAAATTCACCTATAACCGGGGAATTGACTCAGTGAGCATACATATGGTAAAAATCTGCCCTAGAGCCAGGCAAGGCTTTTCTGTTTTCAGTAAGAAGTGCAGCATTCTATCAGGAGGTTCCTAGAGGACATGATCTGCGTTGGCCTCTCCAGTTCCTCTGTCTGAGGAGCACGTAGGTTCCATACCATACTGAATGAGAGGGAGGGACCTTCTTTGCATGGAGTAAATACAACATCAGTCCTTGTTTCTTCTGATCTATTTCAAGTGAAGTTGATTCCTGTGGCACAGTTGGTTACGAGATCCTGTTTGTGGGGATGCTCCCTCTCCAAATGTCATTTTGAAAAATGATCCTGGATCCTCGCGTTCCATCTTTGAAGCAAAGTGACATTAATGGAAGCTGGGACGTTCTGCAGACCAGAGTAAAGAATGCTTCTACTTCTATTTTGTTATTGCTATTAGCTTATCCAGACACAGATTATTTTTGCTTCATGTAGTCTTTCCTCCTGGACAGTTGTCACAGTATTCAAGAAGGATGTTCTTGCATAACGAAGACAAAAAATGTGTGAATTCAGATTCTGCTACTTTTTGAATTACCACGTTGGATTAATTTTTTCACCTATAGGGTCCTCATTAACTTCAATTGAAAAATAGGAGTAATAACTTCTTCGTAGACGTGTTGGGATATTAAGATAGATCAGCAGTTTTCAAAATTTTTGGTCTCAGGACCTCTCTGTTCTCTTAAAAATTATTGAGAGCCCTAAAGAGCTTTGTTCATATGGGTTATGCCTATCAGTATTTACCATATCTGTAATTAATACAGAGAAAATTATAAAGCATTCATTTTAAAATGGCAGCAGCCATTACTGTTAACATATTTTTATGAGAAATGTTTTCCAAAACAAGAGAATTAGTGAGACTACTGGTGGTGGTTTAAATTTTTGTCAGGATTACTGTCTGGATTTATGGAAGACAACAGGATTCTCAAACATGCACAAACTTCTGAATTCAGTCTATGGTGTTATGTTGTTTTGGTTTGAAGTATGTGGCAAAAATAAAGTTTCACATAGATATATATTTTTGGAAAGTAAAGAGTGTATTGATAGCCTTTCCAGTTAAATCAGTTAAAGGTGGACTTTTTTTTTTTTTTTTTTTTTTTTTTGCAGCTGGCTGGTGCAGGGATTGAACCCTGGACCTTGGTGTTATCAGCATCATGCTTTAACCAACTGAGCTAACCAGCCAGCTCAAATGTGGATATTCTTTGATTCAACACTAAAACTCAATAAATGATATTGTCTTAAAAGTTAATTATAATGTGCAATCTGAAGCCATATGAGTGAATTCTATGTACTCTGTTACAGTGCAATCCACTGGTTTATCTTACGCTTTGAATGACTCTTTTAGCCATGCATAACTTTTAAAACATCATACATTGGTTATTTGGAAAATATTAGTTCACTAAATTATACAGATCTTCTAAAAGTTGACTCATTTCATCAAACCATATCAAAATTCACAATAGTTAATATCACCACCAATCTGATTTTTAGAAAGGTCTAAAGTATTAAGAAGCTGTCAAGCTCAGGGTGGCAGATGTATGTTTCCAAAATTCTAATTTTTGCTTGAAAGCTCAGATTTTGTTATTGGCAGTGATAAAATTTCCTGGAACTGATAGGCTCACTTCATTCATTTCAATGATATATCTGCCAAATGCTCAAGTCTGAATAACCACAGTTTGTCTAAAGCTGTTTTTTTAAGTAAAAAAAAAAAAAAAAAAAAAGGTATTCCACGAAGAAGGTGGCTGGTTCGGTTTACGATGCCAGCGATCACACAGTACTTTGTATGAGCTAGCTAGTCATTGTTCGTCACTGTGAAGCAGAAATGCTTTGTGCATTCTTCCTTTTTTTTAAAAAAAAAAAAAAAAAAAAAAAAGGTATTCCACGAAGAAGGTGGCTGGTTCGGTTTACGATGCCAGCGATCACACAGTACTTTGTATGAGCTAGCTAGTCATTGTTCGTCACTGTGAAGCAGAAATGCTTTGTGCATTCTTCCTATTTCATCACAGAATGTCAAAAAGATACCAGGGTACTTCAAAAAGTTCATGGAAAAATAGAATTAAAAGATAATACGAACTTTTCCGTGAACTTTTTGAAGTACCTTCATATACTTAAAAACTTAGATTTAATAAAATCAATATTTGTTACTGCTTCATCGAGGACATTCTTAAGTGAAACTGGCTTTTTTCCCTTACTGGGAGTACATGGCATTGAAGAATACAATGACTGCTAGGACACTTTGGTGCCACTGCTTTACTCTCCAGCCACCTTTATTCTTTACACCTTCTGCGTTGCAAATGTCAAGACAGTGGGGAGAAAGGCAAATAATGTCTTAGTATTATTTTGAAAATAGTTTTGACCTCACCACCTCCCTGAAAGTGTCCCCAGGACCCCAGCACTCTGCAGACCCCAACTTGAGAACCATTTCAATAGATGATAGAAAGTACATGACATGTTGCCAACACTGAAAAGTTAGCTGTTCTTGTTTGTGTCTTATGGACTTGGTGACTAGCTGGTTCGAATGAAGGTTGCCCTTTGTATTATTTTAATGAAATCCCACTAGAGTTGTTTCCTAGTTCCCGAAGTCCCAATTGCCTTTACTCTCCCTAAGATGTTATGTTGAGGCTGAAAACAAGCCTACGTTTCATGTTAACTTTACTGCTGGCCTCTGTGCAAGGAGACCTAGGTAGTCCTAGCTTTTTTGTGTGTTTTGGAGCTAACAACTATATTTTAAAATGTGATAATTTCCTAATCTTTTACATTAAAGGGTCTTGACACTGGTTTCACAGGTTCTACAGTGATCTGAGAATGGGCTTTACATGGCTCATGAGCCCTTGAAATTCCACAAGATTTTTTGTTGTTTTGGGAGGTGGGGGAGAAGGTGGGCTATTTGGGAAAGTCGATACCTTCAATCACATTCTCAGAGGTCTGTTACCTGTCCCCCTACAAAAACAAACACTAAAAAATGACTGTTTCAGATTGACATTTTAATGGGATAACATCTCTCCACCCGTTGTCCATTTCCAAATGCACCTCTCTGGGGGAGGAATTTTGAAAGCTCCCTCCCTGGCTTTGCTCATCCTTGCTTCTCCTCCCCTTGTCCCTTCTTCGCAGTGGCTGTCACCAAGCACTTCATTTAGCACGTGCTGACAGGCCCCTTCACAGTTGTTTCTGAGTGCTCCTCTGTCCTTTTTCTTAGTCTAAAATTCAAGAGAGCAGGGACCATGCATCTCACTTCTATTATATTCCAAAGTGCAAAGTCAGAGTTTGGATCCCTTCAGATGCACCCTCAGGGGGTATTTCAGGCCAGAGGCACTCAGCTAAATTAGTGGATTCCTTTTGGAACTATTGAGATGTGCAAAACTTGGAGTGTTTATTTATGCCTCAACCCCAAGATGTGTTTTTTCCCACACATGCTGCAGTCTGCTTCTTGGAATCCAAGTGCTGTCATGAAAGCTGCAAGGCAGTCTGTTTAGTGCCAATAGTAGCATTTTTGGAACAATTTCTTGATTCCGTGGGAGGAGTGTGGTGACTGCCACCCGCTGAGAAGCAGTGGCGGAGGATTCTGCAGCATGATGACATTCATATCTGCAGTTTAGCATCTCAGCCCCTCTCACAGGGTGGGTTCTGCTGGGCTGCAGAGGAGGTGGCATAGGTGGCTCTGCAGCAGTGCCTCGTGGCCTCGGCATCTCTACAAATCAGGAAGCTGGCTTCAGTGTGCTGGTGAGAGTCAGATGGCAGGGTTGACAGATCGTGCTTGGACTAGACGCTGTTGTTCACCACTCTAAAAAATGAGTTAAGAGTTCTGTGGTGTGTGGCTTAATTCAGTGGCTTCACAGCCTCTGAAAGAGCTTTGGCTTGTCCCACACGACACACATGAGCCCCTACCAGTTGGTAAGTAACAATGTCCCTGTCCTTTATGGGAAGCAGGAAATAATACAGCAATGAATAGGTTGCACTGGCCTAATTATGAAGAGCCAGAAGAATCACTAAATGGTCCACTGACAAGGCGGTGTGCATACCGATAATACCAGTGATATTATATTCAAGAATATGTCTCTGCTTACTAGGTTGCACTATTTTTAAACTTAGATTTCTGGACAGCATTTGAGTAGTGCTGGCATACTAAATTCTATCTTCTGCATTTCTTGCCATCTCTAAGTAGTGAGAGTTGCCACTCACGTTGGATTTTTCCCAGTGTAGGTGTGCCTCTTTAGCAGACAAGAAAACCAGGACACAAGAGCCTTTGACTTGCCCCAAACTACCAAATAATAGTACAGGCGATGTTAGCAGCAGTGGTGTCCCAGGCCAGGGGCACTGAGTCAGAGCGCATGTCCCTCATTTCTTTGGACAGTGCCCTTCACACTGGGGGACTTGGTAAATGTTGGCGTGCGTGCTCTTTGACTAACTCACTCCTCCTTGGGGGCCGAATCTGGTCAAAATCTCCTTTGGGAAAATGCCACTTGTCAGTGGGAGACTAAGGTAAGGTGAACCTTGGCTCTGCTTTCCAAACAGATGGCTTCTGTTATTGCATGATAAAATATGCAGCTTCACGTTTCTGTGCCTCTCGCCACTACAGTACCCTTTCTGTTTTTAAGGAAAGAAGGATTGTCCAAATGTGGAAGATGCAAGCAGGCATTTTACTGCAATGTGGAGTGTCAGGTAGGTGCTGGGCCAGCTGGCAGGGAGGGCCTCATTTCCTCTGAAGATCGGGACCCCAGCGTTGTCCTCTTCCTTGTCATGGCATTCCTCAGTGCCCTCCTGCAGTCAGAGCTGGAGAGCTTAGTCAGGGTGTAGGCTGTGGCTGGACACCCTTGTGTGTGAGCTGCCCCAGGACCAACAGGCAGCCAGTGACAGAGAGTCACAGTTTGGGGCCCATGCAGGACCAAAAACAAGGGGCAGAAGAAGTGGGCAAGATGAGGAAAGCCATGTTCGATACAGGCAGGTGTATTACCAAGGTTGAGAGTTTGCCTCCAAGGACACCTGCAATAAATGGAAGATACAGAGATGACAAATGAAAAGTTTTCAGAGGTATCTTTTACATTTTTAAACGCTTATTGTTGTGGGTCAGTATTTTAATAAGTCCCTCTAGCAGGCTATACCCTGCCCATGGGCTGTTTGCAGCTAGACTTGGGGGAGCCCTTGGCACAGCCTTTGTAGAGCCAGAGGGTTCGGCTCTACAAAGGCTACAAAGTCCGGCTGCTTTGAACTTGTACTTGGGAGCCAGTGCCTTGGAAGCAGCCAGGCTGAGGGGCTCAGGATGGATGAGTCTCCAGTGAATCCTGCAGCGTGGGAATGAGAAGGTTAATGAGGAGGATTTTGGAGGAACTATTGGTAGGCGCTTTGAGGGACAAAGAATGGGGTTTCCTGAACTATTACAGTAACACTAGTAATGTAATTAGTAATTTCTATGAAATGCTCATAGGAATTCCACAGAAGACATATTTCATGGTCAAACAGTTTAGAGGAACATGGTCTTTTTGCTTACTTCAGAACCTTTTTTAGCCTTTAACATGCTAGATTATAATTTCTAAGCCTTCTTATTTGACTTCTGCATACCCTCCCAGACTTTTTTTTTAAAAAAGGGAGCCTATTAAGACATGTACACTTTGGGAAATGCTGATGCTATTAAACAGTGGCTGTAAGTGACAGAGATGAGTTTTTCCATATCTGTGCTTCCTTTCCTTGTCATTCTTCCATACCTGGTGTCATCCACCCCCTTATTCCCACCCCCCTACTGGCCTACTTCTGATTACCCACTATTTCATTTTTTTCTTTCTCACCTCCTATGCTGTTGTCCTCTGAAAGGCCTCAAAGGGCATTATTTAGCAGTGGAGGGATTCCTGAGCCTTGCCGTCTCATCTTGCCATGGAGCTCCAGTGACAATGGCCCCTCTCCAGAATGAAGCCCAGGCTGAGACATTGGCCTAGGGAACTCAGACTCCCCCTGGGCTCTGAAGACCATGTGCCCAGCCCCTTGCCTGTGTCTCCCACGGCAGGCTTCCAGAGCTTGTCCGCCTGTGTCACAGTGAGGATATAAATGGGGCTTGTAGCTGAGTTTTCAGGGCCTTCTTTTGAAGAGGAGAGATCACACTTTGCTCCTACCAGTTGTGGATAGAGCATTCTCTTGTTAGACAGCTAAGGCATCGTAGAGATCAGCGGGCCCTGGGAAATACACTGTTTATTCTAGGCCTGCCAGGGAAGGTAGCTGTTTCTATAGGTAAGTTAAACACTTCTAGAAAAATTAACTCATTCCATTCTGGTTCTTTAGAGAAGCAAGCATAGTAAATCACACACAGTTCAGATGATATGACATGGTCCAAGTAGCATGTTTCAAAGCTACTACTTACTAACTCCATGAGCCTGGCAAGTCACAAGACATCTCTGAGTCTCAGTTTCTTCAAATATGAACTGAGGACAACGGTGCCCATCTTAATGTGTTGTAGGGACAAAGTGACGTGATAGATATGAAAATTCTGTATAAACTGTGATGCTGTGTGACAAGTGTGTGGGGTTAGTGTAAATATTAATATTATAGTCCACAGGAAAGTTGAATTTGTAAAATTCAGACTGGACTGAAGCTTAGCTTTATGCAAAGAATAAAGTAAACAGCATACTTTTGATTAAAGGGGCTTGTTTTTTTAACCTGAGAGAATGCCTAGATTCTGAGAACCTGAGGACACTCATGGTGTACCTTGTGTGAGTACTGCTTATTACAAGATGAGTCTTAACTCCTCTGAGTAACCTGTAACAGTTCATTAATACAGAATGTCAGAGTGTGTGACTTGCAGGGTTTCCCCCTGGGTCTCCTGAGTGCACTGCTAAGCTACCTTCCATTAGGCCTCACCAGGTGGCCATATTTTGAAGGATGTATGGTCTCTGACCATGGTTGGGATTTTAAGGTGCCCGTTGTGGTTTCCCTGCCCTCAGGACCTAGTCTCCCAGATTTTCATCTATGAGTACACAGGGGTGCTGCTGTCCCTTGGAGGAGGCTCACATTAATGAAATACCCTAACTGGGTGTACCAGAATGCTGGTTATTACTTTACAGTAGCAGTTCGACGGTCTGCATTTCACCCCTGAAGGCAAACTGCCCATCATAATGAGATGATTGCTTGGAACCCCAGGATGGAGGAAAGAGTTACAGGAGTCCAGTGTTCAGAGGCTGCAGACCAAGGCAGCCTGCTGTGTCCAGCCTCACAATGAAGTTTTCCTTGGACCTAGTCTCCCAGATTTTCATCTATGAGTACACAGGGGTGCTGCTGTCCCTTGGAGGAGGTTCACATTAATGAAATACCCTAACTGGGGTGTACCAGAATGCTGGTTATTACTTTACAGTAGCAGTTCGACGGTCTGCATTTTACCCCTGAAGGCAAACTGTCCATCATAATGAGGTGATTGCTTGGAACCCCAGGATGGAGGAATGAGTTACGGGATTCCAGTGTTCAGAGGCTGCAGACCAAGGCAGCCTGCTGTGTCCAGCCTCACAATGAAGTTTTCCTTACTGTTCGCCCAGTTGCTGGCCAAGGGCACCCTGCGCCCTGGGGAGTACTTTAGCAGTTGTATTTTTTGTGCTTCTGTGAAGTAGCTAGTGACCAAAGGACCCTCCTAGGTGGCAAGCGATAACACAGCTCCTGAAACCTCTTGTTTCAGAGGTGGCAGGCTGCATTTGACCTGCAAGCTTTGTTTTTGTTTCATCCATCTCCTGTTGCTGAAGAAAGAGGCTAATGTCCATGAAGCTTTTTCATCCTTTAGAGCTGAAGTGTGGGGCAGTGTATTACAAGGAGACGGAGCGGCATTAGGCTTAATAAAAGTAAGCCTAGAACTAAAGGGTGGTACAGGAGCTTCGTACAGGAAATCATTAGGGAGGAATCTGGGACATTTGCTCCAGAAATGTATTCAGGGTTCAGCTTAAGGGAATGTTTGAATGGAATCAAAGTGGAGGCTCTGCTCAAGATAAAATGTGGCACAAAACCAGAGCAGCCAAGAGGAAGGTAGTGGCGTGTGAGTCTCATCTAAGCAGCAGGGCCCTCCGCTGCCAGTGATTGCCAGGTTTCTTCAAAGGCAGGCCTGCCCACCTGAGTCTGCAGGTGGCCAGTGCCCCATGCCCGCTGGGGAAGTTGGGCTGGAGGGTATGAGTCCACCCCGTCAGGAGGTAGGACATATCCATAGTGGTTGGGTGACCTGCCCAAGGGCCAGCAGTGGCAGAGCTGGGGCTAGACTTTAAAGATGGCTTCATCACTCTACGGCAGTGTGCCTGGGAGCACTGGGGCCTTCCAGGAGGAGAGGCACCATGGGAATGTGCCACAGAAACAGAAGTGTCCTTTGAGGGATGCCAAAGGGGTGAGCAGCACCTGCTGCTGTCATCTTGTCCAGAGCCTGTCAGGAGTGCTGAGGTGCACTTGCTTCTTGAGCGTTCCCTTTCCTCGGAATAAGATCCTAGTCGCTCTGTACTCTCCCCAACCCTCCTCTGTCTGCGCTGCTTTAGGATTTTGCTTTATTTGATACAATTTGGTTCTATCTTGTCCCGTTTACTTCCCTCCTAGTTCATTTGACTCAGCGTGATGGTGCCAGAGGAAAGATTTTAATTGACAATGCATGAAAGGGTAATGGAAGGAAATATAAAAGAGACAGAAATCTCTTTTTAGTTAGGCTTGCTATTTTGTAACCAGTATGTTTCAATGAACTGATGTTTATTTTTATAAATATGCCTGGAAAGATAAGTGTATTATTCACTCACTTAAACTTCTTCATTAAATTGTACTATGACATGTTCAACAGAGCAGTTTTAGAAAGTTATTATAGAAAGATAATCGTGATGCAGTAGAACATTCTGGGGTGTGTTTCTTTAACAAGTATAGAGAAAAAACACCTTTGTGTTTTATAAATAGAGGTGAGGGGTTAGAGTGCGCTTTTGAAAGCAGGAAGGAATTTTTCACAAAGCATGTGTGACAGCCATGTGACTAAAGATGTGGGAAAATTCTAGACTTTTATCACTGACCAGAAAATAACTGAAGTGTAGAAAACGTCTAGGAAATGCTTGCTGAACCTTATCATTGTTAATGGGAGATGAGTGAGTAGG